CCAATAACGGCTCCGTAACTGAAGTGGAAGCAACTGCTGTTGATGATGAAGAGGTTGTTGAAGATGATGTCGATATCATTGGCTCCTCTAGTCCTGGTTCGGTCGGCAACAGCTCTTTGGTTCAGCAATCTTCTGTCCCTAAGGCAGGGAGCACCGAAGGATCAGGTGTACAGAAAAAACAGGTTGTTACATTTTCACAAGAGCCAGCTACTAAAGATGGAGAATTTAAAATAAAAATCTCAGATGTCCTTTCTGGAAACAACAAGGAATTAAGTTCGGGTCTAACATCAAAGAATGTGGCAGATGGGCAGAAAATCATAACATTAGATACAGCAACTGAAATAGGAGGCTTGTCCACAGGCTGTAAGGTTTATGCAAACATCGGTGAGGATACCTATGACATAGTCATCCCCGTGAAGGGTGACTCTGAGGAAGGGGAAGCCAAGCCTGATGACACACCCAAAAAGTCTGACGATGAGTCTCCAAAGGGGAAACGCATGAAAGTGAAGCACGATGACCACTACGAGCTGATAGTGGACGGCCGAGTCTACTACATTTGTATCGTGTGCAAGAGGTCGTACGCGTGTCTGACCAGCCTGCGCAGGCACTTCAACGTGCACTCCTGGGAGAAGAAGTACCCGTGCCGCTACTGCGACAAGGTCTTCGCTCTGGCAGAGTATCGTACCAAGCACGAACTGCACCACACCGGGGAGCGGAGGTACCAGTGCTTGACGTGCGGCAAGTCCTTCATCAACTACCAAATCACCGTGTCCCACATCAGGTCTGTTCACAGCCAGGACCCTTCCGGAGACACCAAGCTGTACCGGCTGCACCCCTGCAGGTCCCTGCAGATCCGGCAGTACGCCTACATCAGCGACCGCCCCGGCAGCGTGCCGGGCATGAACCAGGGGGGAGTTGTCTATCGGGTTGGCTCAGGGAAGGATGGCACCGAGGGAGCGACGTCCAACTCTCCAGCCAAACAAATCACCTGGGATGACATTTTCGTTCCGCAGGGAAATGAAACAATTTTTAAACAAAACCCGTCAGAGGGAAGTACTGAGTTTGAGTTTGTGATACCAGAATCTTACTGAAATGTTTGAAATGCTGGAAAAAGGGTTCAGTGCAGGAGCACTACAGCTGTTTTAACTGAACTGTTGAAATTGCTGTAAAATCAAAGGTTAAAGTCAAAAGAAGTTAACTTGTTCTACCAAGTAACCAAATGGTAACACTTAGATGGACCATGTTAATTGCAGTGATTTGTGGAAGCAATTAATCAGAAAATTTACTTGAATAGAGAGTGAGACATTCTAACGCGCTACCAGAGTTTTCAGATATGTTAAATTTGATCAAAACATGAGGATTTGTGGCTTGAAAATGTACAATTCCTTCTAAAGAGCTAGAAATATTTCTAAACTCATTGTGGAATTTCCTGTACCCGTACTTACCATGTAAACCCTTTCTTTCATGTTAGCACTTTAATGCTGAATTCTGTTTAGATGTTAACCAAGAAAACAGTAAAATGTTTTCATCATAGTCTCTGGGTCATGGAACCATTTAAAAAATAATCCCACAACTCACATTTGTGAACAAGGAGCCAAAATACATGATCCCCTACTACACTGGAGTCGTCTGTTTTTGAGCTAGCATCCTAATTCTGCTTTCATAAATATGATGAACTGTCTTCATGCAAAAAGTCGTGTCAACAAGCAATACTCAGTTAGGGCTAACTTGAACAAACTTTACTTACACTTGGCAGTATGGTGAGCTGTCCTTGGTTTTTACTCTTTTTGCAATGGGAAAAAAACGCTACAAAGCTGAATAGTGAAGAAGCTTGGAACACTTAGGAAGGAGATAATTTTACCTTCTTACAGCTTGAGAAATATTGTTGCATTTTCTTACTGCTGGAAAAAATGCCAGTAATTAGTTTGATATAAAGTGCTGTTCCTTTTTTTTTTTCCCACTTCAAGAAGAAGGGCTTTAGTGCAGAATTTTTAATTGATAAAATATTATTTCTTTTTAGCTGGAGGTTTCTCAAAACTATGAATTCATGTAAGTGCTGTATTGGTTTAGCACTGAGACTGCTGAAGATCCTGTATGCCTGTTGGCTACATCTTCAGGTATAACAGGGATTTGGATTTCCCCCCACACTTGCCCCCAGTTATACAACTTTCGGAAGATGAGGACTAAGAAAATACCCTTTATACATCATGACCCAAAGTATAATTTCTCTGCAGTTGTCTCGTTGTCAGCTGTTTCCAGGTCTGGGTTTATTATGTTGCCCTTTTACTCTCCTTGCAATTGGTGCCTGTTTTAACAGTTAAAAGATGAATTAGATGTCCAACTTGATCAGGAAGTGGTAGATAAAAACAGCTGTTTACTGGAGTCCTAGTTTAGCATTTCAGAGTTAGTGACTTGTTGAATTTTTGTAAATGGTAATATGAAATTTCCTCAAGTTCTAGAGGTGGATGGGAAAGACTATTGTGCATAGTACTAGTCATGGAAACCTTTAATTGCTTAAATTGCAGTTACAGGTTTCTCTTTTCTTTTTCATGCTTTAAATTAGTATCTTGATTTTATGACTCTCAGAGTTAAAGGCTTTAGACCTTTAACAGTACTCTTCACAGAAAGGCACTTAAATGGTAAATGGTTCAAATATAAGTTGAGCTACAAAAACCATACCAGAAATCCACGTGAGCAGCGATGGGAGGAAGATTTGTTTACGTGGTGCATGTGGTGCTCAGCACTTCTCCTTTGTCAGCCAAGAACATGATATACCTGATTATTTCCAGATCATATTGCAGACCCCTTTGAGTGCAATGGGTCATGCTTTAAATGTGGGATGTACCTGAGGTGCATTTCTGCAGTCACACACTGTCACCATGGGACATGAGTGTGGACTGCCTGCGTTGGCACAGGTGGCTGGTGCTGTGGTGGGACTTCCTGAATTTTGTGACAAGACAAATGCAATGATATTTTTGTTATTGACATGACACGTGTTTAATCACAGAATAGTCTTGAGTTGGAAGGGACCCGCAAGGATCATTGAGCCCAACTCTTAAGTAAATGCTCTGTGTTGGGATCTGGAATTAAGCATGCATTACAAAGTGCAGAACTAAACATAATGGCTATCACTATTTGCTGCTGATGTATTTAAAACCTTAAATTAAACTGTGCCTAGTAAAGGTCTCTCTTTGGAGGAAAACTGGAAAATTAGGGCTTTGTAACTATTTTTGCTAGAAGACTCGTGCTTGCATGTGTCTCAGGGTCTTCAGTTTTCCTTGGAAGTGATTTTGATATCCAAAGTCCAGAGGTATGTAAAGCATTTTTTTAATTTCACTTCCAGTATTTATTGGTTTGGAAACATGTTAAATCCATTATTTGAAAACGTTATGGGGCCATGAGTAAGCTTTTATATTTAGATTTCTGGCAATTGCACTTACATTTGTGTTTTTGTTTGTTTTTGTAAGCATTTAACTTCCAGTTTAACTTAATGAAAAAACTTATGTAAATATTAATAAATTGGCTTTGGGATGATGGAAGAAAAAGGTTGAATCTGACAAAGCATTTATATGGAAATGAAAAATTTCAACAGACTAAGGTAGCAAACCTCACAGTCATTTATTATGCATATAAAACCATTAACAGATCTGCTGCAGAATATGGTAATGGTGGCTGCATCCTCATTGTCTGGCTTCTTTGGGGACACATACCATAACATTCCACTGTGTGAACTAAATAAATATTGAATTACATCTACTGCTTATTTATTTTGTTCTGTTAAGGCATGCAGCTTATAAAAAGATGCAGAAGCTGACAACTATATACATTGAATTCTGAGTTCTACAGCTGTTGCCTAGGAGATGTTCCATGTGAAACATTCCTTGGTTTTCCCCAGTCTGTGATGTATATAGTTGTACAGTCTTTCCTTAACATACTTTTTAAAGTTGTGTTCTACTTTTCATTAATCAACACATGATATTAGTTTTTAGAGCTTTCTATGGCAAAAATAAAAAAGTTTAATTCTCAAGGTGAGTGTAATATGTTTCTTTTTGATGGCAACTCAGTTTCTACAGTCTAACGTGTTTGTAGCTGCCTTTTCCATGTCTTTGGGAACAGCAGGGAACCCACTGTGGAGGGGAACGGGAAGAGGTGTTTTTATTGGGGCCTTAATTTTGTTTGTTTGTTTTGCTGCTGTTTAATTGGTTTTGTTGAACACTTTCCAAGAAAGCAAATCAGCTCAAGAACCCCAGTGTGCTGCAGAGATGGGGTGGATGGGAGCTCCCAGGACAGGCAGAGCTGTCCTGAGGCTGTGCAACACTGACCAGCTGCAGGCATTGCAAATGAGCTCAAAGCCAACAAAACCCCTACCTAGGGACCAGTGAAACATCCCTGGTGACCAGTGCTGTGCTTTCAGCTCACTGTGCTTTGGCCTCTCCTTACCAGCTGCTGACTGGTTGTGATTTGTAGGAGTTCCACTGTTGGTGACCAGGGTCAACAGGAAATGGTCACTCACTTTGTGTAGACTTCTTATTGCATGCAGGAATGCTATTTAATAACTAACATACCAAATTATGTTCTAGATGCCTTCATCTCCTTGACATAGGGCTTCTCTGACATCACCAGGACAGAATATGCTCAAAGTAAGCAAAGGAGACACTGAGACTGCACTGGTTGGATTAGTCAGATCTGTGTGAAGGGAAAAACCAGCAGCAGTAACTTTAGAGGGCTTGAGGTCAGAGCATCATGTTATGGTAAAACTACAGAATTATCAAATGTGGGGGCATGAGTGCCTTCAAAAACAGAACTGAAGGAGTTTTTGGCTAATCCTGGTAGAAATATGTCTCAAATATAATGAACAGAGATTTTCTTTCTTGTTTTGTTTTTTTTTTTGGAGGGGGGTTTTTTGCTTTGATTTTTTAACATAAATTTTACTATTTTTTTAAATAACCTTTAAGATGCTTGTAAAAGAGGAAGGTTGCTAAAATGTAAAATAGATTTGGTAAATGTTTACAAAAGTCACACAGTTTTATTTAACTTTGGCAAAGTAATAAAAGGGTACATATGAGTCACAAACTTGACATTCTCATAAGAAATGACAAATACAGTGCAGAATGTTGCAGTTACATTAAATGCTTTGTTTTACTCAAGCAGAATGAAACAGGTAATTCAACAGAAAATACCACCACTAAGTTTTTAAATGTGAAAATGTACTTGTCCTTTTATAGTGAATTTAAAGCAGCAATGTAATTTTTGCTAAAATATTCCTTAGAAAAAAATGAGAATTTGGATAATTTCCTAAGGTTAGTATTTTTCAACTCAAAACCAATGACACAATTAATCTCCTAATTGTTTCTCTGCCACTAGGTTGTGTTCTCTTCAGGATGTTCAGTCCTGTCCTGTGGTGTCCCCTAGTCCTTCTAGCCCTATTTGGTTGACAGGCACAAATGGTACAGTGTTTGTCAGAAGCGGGACAGGACTGTTAGCTTTTATTTCAAAGATAAAGCAATAAGATGTTTTCTGATAGTAAATTAATGTGCCCTTCTGTTTCTAGTTTTGTGGGGAGTTTTATCAAGAGAAGTACTGTCTGTTTTGAATTTGCCCATGATCTCTTTATCCAGAGATTCTTTATATCTTTAATTCAATAAAATGTAATATAAAATGGAGGATGCCCCAGTATATAAATTTATTTCCAGTACACAAATTTATAGGAGCTGCACTTCAACATTCTATAGTAAAACAAAATGCCACCAGGATATGTTCTACATACACTACTGCTTTAAATCCTGTGAGCTGCATTCCTTTCTCCAGCTGTTTGTTTTTCCCTTCTTATTGGAGAAAAGTCATGCTTGCTTCTGGATAAAGTGTCATCCTTTAATGAACTAACATACTGATTAGTATTTGACAGTGGAAATGATGAAGTTAATACATAGTCTAGCCTAAAGGCTCTGCAAATGCATAGGATTAAAACAGCATTATAAAGTGTGGGTGTACTTTGAAAAGTGACATCAGAGACTTCAGTGTTTGTTTTCCATGTTGACAGCATCTTAATATTTTTTATAGATTAAAAGTAGGTGCCACAGTTTAAAATCCAACTGGATTCTCCCCCACCCACCAGCATGTATTCCATTTTGATTCTGAAAGCCAGATTGAACTTTTAGGTACCTTTTTGTCTGCATCAGTTGCAAGTAAAGGAAGGCAACTGAGGACTAGGGTCAACAAACTGATGCCAAGGAAATGATATCTTTGGGAAATAAGGAGTAAAATGTTAATGTTGCTTTTATCCCTGAAGTAAGCAGTTGAGAACACTCAGGTTGAGCAGGTCAGATCTGAACACTGTCATCTGAAATCACTTCCTGGAGTAGAACCACACTTTAGAGGTCAGTGTGTCACATATCAAAGCTGACCTTTTGTTATGCAAGATGCATGCAAAATCTGCTGGAATCTAGATCAATCAGCACAGTCATCAGCTGAAGATTAAATGAAAGTCACAACAGTAATTGCAAATTCCTCAGGTTTGTCCTATATTACAGGGTGTTGAATTTCATCCGTGTGAGACTTATATCTTGGAAAACTAGTAGTGGATATTCCTTATGTGCAGCCCATAATACAGCTACTAAACCAGTGCTTATTCAGGGTGCTGATTCAGTCCATTAAAAAAGTTAAAAATACAAGCTTAAAAAGAAATTCCCAACCACAGAAACGTAAACAAACAAATAAATAAATAAATAACATTTTTACTGCACTGTTTCAGTGATTTGTAGAGGGTTCCTGATATTTTTATAGGAATACAAGGACAATTTAGGCAGTGCAACCACCCAAACTGTTTGACTTCAGCATTACTTACAGAGAATTCAGAGAGAGAGAACTCCATTTCATCTTTTATCTTAAGAAGCAACCTGAAATAAAAACAGCTTGCCCCCCCTCAAAAAACCAATATTCTGATTATTTTGCTACACATGCATGAGGCTGTCCTATGATGTTATCCTTTTCAACAGGGTTACATTTTGAGGCACTGTCACAGTTTCCCCCAAAATTTCTCCAGTGTGTTGGGCCAACGAGTGACGTGAGCTAGGTCCTGTGTCCTCACAGCCAAAATCCCAGCAACTGGAGCCCAGGGACCAAACAAAACCAGTGTTGAGTGGTGCTGTCTGCAAGCACCCTCACCTCAAACAGACTGATAATCTCTAGCAACTCTTGATCTTGGCTACCCTTACTTCAGCTTGGCACAAGATGGAGTAAGGCAGACCAGAATCTGTCATCTGTGTTGGATCACTTGATTAAAAATCAAGGACTACATGAAGCAAAGAGGCTGAAATTTAGGTCACCTGCTACTCAGTGACTCATTAAAACATCAGAAGTCTGTCCCCTTTGTCACAGGCCATCATTAAAACTTCTGAAATAAGTCTCGCAAAAAAGGACAGTCCAATCCAATATTTTAATTTGCAATTCTCCTGCTCCCTCCCACAGTAAAATATAAATACAAAATGTTCACACTTATTTTGATGGCAAATATGTTTTTTCTTCTTTCCCACGTTCTTTATGGCGTGTAAGGTGGTGGCTTCTCAAAGGGTGGGAAATAGGGTGGTGAGTAACGAGGTGGTGCATTGGAGGCCCACATATAGCTGGGAGATGGTGACAGGGACTGGGGGTCATCCGAGAGGCCAGAAGGAGTGGAGGCTGGAAACACGCTGGAATGCTGCAGGGAGACAGCAAAGGCTCTAATGTAACCATTTCCTAATGGAAACTTATCAAAGTGATACTTCATTACCAAACAGTTCAAAATTAACATTTCAAGGTGGTGTACATACAAATAACACTTCAGATAACTTGTTGCATTCAGAGTGAGCACAGCCTGTAAGTAACAGTTTTGAAAAATGAGGCTCCTTAGATCCAAAATTGAAGATATTTAAAAGAAAAATCTCATCACTTCTGTGTTCTCCTGCATTTCAACTGAAAACTGATGAGTTCCTCTCAAATCCTGGGTGTCACACACCAGCCAGTAGCAACAATGAATGAGCCGCTCTAAACCAGAGAACTGGGTCTGCCATTTCAGAGTTGTGTGTGAAAGCCAGGTTTCTGCAAGGGCCCAGGCTTCCTTAGGAATTCTGGTGTGTTGTTTTTCTCCTGTGAAAAATGTGTGGAATGAGTGGGAAGCATGGTTGCTCCAGAGGGAGTGCATCCCTTGGAAGGGATTTGAGAGGCATGGCTGGGCGTGCTCCTCGTGCTGGGGATGTCAGGGGAGAGGGCTCAGGGTCACTGTTGGAGCAGAGTGGGGCTCAAGGCAAGGGAGTCTCCACAGCAGAGCTCAGCTAGTGCTCCCCTGCAGGCCCCAAGTCCCCTGGAAGATATGCAGGGCTCAGACTTGGAATTTCATGTTAAAGAGGGACCTGGCTATGTTAAATTTAGATGAGTTGAATTTATGCCCAGCTTTTGTGCCATCTCCTGAGCCAACACCTGTGCTCACAGCAGTGAGACCCAGACGCTCTGATGTGTCTGGCTGAGCTGTGTTGGCAGAGCCCAGCAGTACTTCCAGGTCCAAAGCAGGGAAATCACCCACGCTGGGCTCTCTGCAGGGCTGGGGCTGCCACACTGGCAAGCTCTGGGCCAGACAGTGCTCAGAACTGCTGAGAAAAGGACTTGTAGCACAGCTTGCTTTGGCATGCACTGAGGCTGGCATTTTTGTAACTGCAGGAAGTTACACAGCACCAGGGAGTGTCCTGGGCTTCATTAATCTCACAAATGGGTCACAAATACATCCTAGAAGTTCTGACTTAAGTGTTCAACTATAATGAGGAGCCCTGACAACAGCATTGTCCAGTGGCACTAGCAGCAGACCCAGGAAGGTTTAGAATTGTGTTACCTCTGCATGGCTCAGATGAGGGACATGGTGCCTATCACAGAGCACACCTCTTTGGTGATGACCAAGTTCTTAAACTCTTGTTAATTAAACAAAAAGTCTCCAGTCCTGGTGGTGGTGTGATGTGTTAATTAACATCACCCCCGTGACAACATCCACCTACCAGAAGAGCAGAGGAGGAAATGTCCTCATCTGCTCCAGCAAGTGAAAGTGCTGTTGACAGCAAGGCTCACATGAAATTGCTGTTTCCAACAGCACAGCTCCATAGCTCAAAGAGGAAGGGAGGCATTAAAGCAGAGGGGATGTTTGCAGGGACCCCTCTTAGGCCAGCTGAAGGATGTGGAAAATAACCACAACAAAATAGCTTTTCAGTCATCTCGTGTCTTCAGGAGCTCAAATAGCTTGTTTCCAAAAGCTCTACATTTCTCTCAGAGACAGTAGCTGGCCTAATAAAATCCAGTACCTGAACACCTGGCTTTGCCTCTCTCCTCAGAACATTGCAGCCAGAGGCAGTGCCTATTTTTAATGTGATCTCTACTGGTGAGTGATGGGGAGGCAGGCAGGCAGCAGGTCCTCCCTCTTGCCTTCACTTCAAGGACAACTTTCAGGAAAACACTGCCTTAGTAAGAGAGGGCACTGCCAAGGACCAGTGCCTAGTAGGAAAAAATTGGTATTTTCTGCAGGAACAAGAAAATTAAACTGTGTGAATGACAGGAAGACAGGCCCAGAGTCCTGCAGACTGCTGGATTTAACCTTGCTGCTAAACAAGGAAACAGCCTGTAATGCTGCCCACCTGAAAGTCATAAGCAGAGTAGGGAGGCAGGTGAGGAGTGCTGTGGTAGTAGGAGTTGTAAGATGTCACTTGTGGCCTGGAGTAGTAGGTCACTGAAGGGTGTGCATTTTCAACACTGCAGTTCAGCGTAGGGAGGGAAGGAGTCTACCAAAACAAAAAGAAGAGAGTATGAGGCTGCAAACCCAGTCACAGAAAGCTGAGAGCTGAATGAAAGCAGAAATTATTTAAAGGAGCACTGTGTCTTCAGATGTCAACTCTGTTGAATTAGCAACTGGCAATCCAGCTCCCTCTCAGGCAGCAGCTACGCTCCAAGGTCACTTTGTTCCACAGCCCTGATTGTTTCAGACTCCAAACAACAAGCTGGCAGTAGCCCAGTGCACACCAGTACTCCCCCAAGACAGATTTACTTCTTCACAAGTAGGAGAAGTTATTCATTACTTCCAAATTACTCTGTTATTTGGTGCATTTTGTGCATTGCTGTTCATTTCTATACATCTTTGTTTGCAGAGGCTCTCTGGTGTGGGTCAAACGTCAAAGGGCTGTGATGCACAGCTGGGAACGTCTCCTGTTTTATTTGGGAAGATATTGGTGAGTCTGAAAAGAGATCAGAGTTCTGAAACAACGTACTCTTAGTGCAGGGCCCAAGATTTCTTTGTAAGAAAAACACTTAGCCAAGGCAACAAATCTCTTTTCTGTGAGATTTGTTGTGATTCTGTGTGAATGTTTTTGTGTTATTCCAAATGAGTCACAAGTGACTGAAAAAGCCCCAAATGTATCTGTTGAACATTCAGTTCTATCCCTTCATTTGTGCTGTTGTGTTGCACCATATGGAAGGTAACAGGCAGCCTGGTTAAGTGAAGTTATTTCAAAGCTCACACTGTTAGAACAGTATTTTTTTCATTATCTGAAGTTTGGTTTTGATCCCCAGTTCACCTTCTCAGGTTCTGCACCATGATGAAATCAGATGGAGAGTTTCAGCCTAACACAGCTGCTTAAACTACAAAATCAACAATTAATGAGCAACCACCACACTTTTCCTTGTAGAATGTGAACACTATGAAAAGGAAGATCAATTTTTAAGAAAGTTTATTTTCAATCACCCTGGTATTGCCAGTGCCTCTCTGATGGTTCCTTTTGAAAATACAGTCTCCCAATTCTATTAGTATTTTCTAATTGTGCTCAGGTGGTGACAAGTTCAGAAAAGTGAATCACTTTCACTTTTTTGTTAGTTATTTCTTGCCCTTCTTCCCACCCTGACTGAAGTAATGCATAGATCATTTGCACTGAAATACCAATAGTTTCCATAATTATTTTTAAAGGTAATTTGTCTGATTTGTTTTCTTTAATGTGTCAAGGAATTGATATCCTCTTACCATGTCTTTAAAGCCTCCAAGTATTGCTGCTGTAATGATCCCTAGGAACAGCCCGACTATGTTCAGAATTGTTGCTGACCAGAGCAAGTGGTAAAGGTGGATGATGTCCTGGCAGCTGCTGACATCAATGTACTCATAGTACCCTCCAGAAATCTCTACTCTGCTAGATTAGGAAAAAAACAACAGTAATGATAAAAATGCACCACATATCATAAAACCCAAGCAGTTCTGCTGGACAGTAAAATGCATTCTGCAGCTCAGTGATAACCTGGACCTTCCTACCGAGGGAGGGGAGTGGGGATAAAGCCTCCTGGACCCTGTGATTGTGGCTCCATGATCTCCCTGCACAAAAGGAGTTCTGAAAAAAATACTGGCACAAATGACTTTGTGTCTGAACCTGCCTGTTATTTCTTTCATCTGAAATCTCCACAGAGGTCCTGGAGGCTTACCAAGGACAAACCGGTCTTGGAATTATCAAGGGAAATGAGGCTGTGCCCGAGGAGCAGCAGCTGCCCCCAGGCAGTGCTGGCTGCTCCCCAGAGCCCCGGGGCAGCTGGGTGGGACGGGCAGGGCCAGCACAGGGCCAGCACAGCTCCTGCCTGGCTCCCAGGGCTTGGCCACCAAGCAGCTCCAGCTCCGTGCCCTGCTCCAGCCACCAGCCCCTCACTGCTCCACAGCAACCGGGCTGCTGGAGCCTGGCACCTCCTCTTTCTGCTCACACCGAACCTTTTCCACGTGCAGGAAAGAGAGAGAAAACTCGGCCAAATCTGGTCAGGTCATTATTTTGGAAAAAGAAAAGCAACTCCTGCAGCACGTGGGCTGAGGCCTTGCAGAGGAATTCTTCGGGAATGACCTCTGAGGCGGGTGGGGAACAGGCTGGCCTTCAGCACAGCTCACCACATGCAGTCCAGGGCCTACAGCAAAACATATTTATCAGGGACAAACAGTACCAGGAGCTTAGGAATGACTTATCTGCCAGCTCACACACAGGGCTAGGCTCAGAGCACATGAGAGCTTTGAGGACAGGGGGAAGAAGTGGCTCATATTTAGGGTCAAGAAGCAGGAGATCCACGTTCAGCAGACTCCACAAGGCCTGCAGGAAACTGCCCCCTTTCACAAGAGTCACCCTCCTCTGCTGATTACACAACTTCTGCCTCTTTACCCTTTTTACTCCCACATTTCATTTTAGGAGGCCACTGCAGGAACATCACGAGGTGAGGATTTCAGACAGAACCGAGGCACCACAGGTTACAAAAACGTGTGCTCTGGCTGGCACAACCTCTGTGTAACCTGAGCTCTCGGTGACCCTCTAACAATAAAAGCTGATTGTGCTGTTTGCAAGTGCTCCTTCCCATGGAGATGTGTGAGAACGTGTGCGGGAGAACATCCCTCATTGTTCAGCATGTCCTGATCAGCGGGAAGGGGCTGGTCCCGTGCTGCCAGAGCCAGGGGTGCCAGCATCAGGAAGAATGCAAGATGTCACGTTTGCCATGGTTTCCATCCTTTACATGTGCACTAACCAGTCTTGAGTGTCCGTGCCTCTCACTGAGACACCATCCTGCACCCCCTCAGTGCAGGATGTTTGCGTGGTACTAAGCAAGACTGAAGCAGCAACAACTGGTATCTTTCATCAGAGAGGGGAAAGTGGGTCAGGGGCAGGCCCCAGGACCAGGACTGAGGAAAAAAACAAAATACTAACAAAAACAAAAGAAAAAGAAATACAGAAAAGTTTCTAGCTTTTCCATTCCATTCCAATCAGTTCTCTCTCTAATCAGTATCCTCTCTTCAGCTAGTAAAAAGGGATTGTGTTCTGTAAACTGCCCAAGGAAAGTATGAGTAAAAAGGGATTGTATTCTGTAAACTACTCGAGGAAAGCATGAGCTTCACGCCTCTTTCACACACACAAAGTCCGACAGAGACCGGGATCACACTTCCCAGCACAGGGAACCACCCATCCTCTCCCAACAGCAGCTTTTGATCTTCCTCCACCACAGTCAATCATTTAAATGGAGGCCAGCCCAACTAAGTACTGTGAGAAATGCTAAGCCTGAAACAGCCCTAGGCAAGAGCCAGCAGTAAAAAAATCGATTTATTAATGCCTTGCTAACACGCATTGGACACTCCACAAGGTACAAGCAGCGCATGCTGTAAATTAAGCTGGCTTAGGCACAGCAGCCAGGTCTCAGTGGTGTGACTGCTCTGCAGTGGTTCTTGATTGGGAACCACCTCCTGACTCACTGCACAGGGCTGGTTCACCTTCCAGCCCCGTGTGAGCATGGAGGACGTTCACTGGGCAGAGGACACTGGTTTATGAAGGCACAGATGGCACCAGAATGGAATGGTGGCAAGGTAAAGAAGAACACTGTCCCAGTTTTTTTGCTTCTTCAATATTGTCAAAGAAAAAACCAAAACCCAGTGCCAACAGAGAAGGAAGGTGTTAAGATAAGCAATACTCAATAGGTAGAAAGCCTGAGGAGGACACCAAGCATGAAAGTGCTCTTCATTTTTCCAGCTGGGCTGGCCCAGAGCATGCTCACCCACAGCTGGGATGGCCTTGCTGTATTTCACACCCACCTTTACCTGGTTACCTTTTGTCTGGGACTCCTCCTTGCTAACAAACACAGCTAAAGATCCCTTCCCACAACAACTGCCATTAACTATCCTGCAAACGAGCTGCGAGCTATTGCCAAGCAGCATGACCACTGCTCTCCCCTCCCACGGCCAGGAGTGGCATTTTTGGCTTACTTCCCACAGTTGTACAGGTCACAGCAGAAGCAGGTGTTGGTTTTTATTTTCGGTGTGCAGGGTGCACGGCGCTGTGGGTGACAGACCGCCTGTGTGAATACAGAAAAAAAATACATAAAGCACAGGAGGACACAACCCCCAAACACAGTTTCTGCTGCTGTTTGGCCTGCTCTACATGTAGAATTCCCAGTGATCTCCACATAAGCCCCAGGCATATTTTTCTTTCCTTATCTTGCTCCCACAAAGCCCTGCTATGGGAACAGAGGTGCACTGGCTGGAGCAGAGCAGCATCTCTTCTGCTGTGGGAGCTCACACAACAAGCATGTGCCTGCAGAGGAAGGAGGTTCTGCAACTCCTGCAAGCAGCCAGGGCCTTGCTGGAACAACCCACCTCACCCCAGGGCAAGGCAGAGCAGAGAGCTGTCAACAGCACGGCCCAAGCTGAGAGCAGATTCCAACAGTGGTGCAGGACTGACCAAAGTGGTTCATTGTGCGTGCCTGAAGGTGGTAACAACCGAGTCCACATGGACAGTCCTCGACCTGAAAAGAGAGTGGACCACTCCCACACTGCTAAATGTGCAGCATTTAACTTTGCAGGCCTTCTAATTTTGTATATAATGGTTATTCAGAACCACCTAACTACCTGTGGACTTGTGAGGAAAGCTCTGAGAGACAATCAGTGCTCACCAAAGGCAGACAGACATCCATCCACACACCATCAGTATGTGGCAGGCTCACCCACACCCAACAGGCTTCTCTTTGGAGAACACAACAGGAGAGGTGCAGAGGCTGGTACTTGTTGCTCATATACACAGAAATTATTGCTTTGTGAAACCTTAACCCACCACCCCGCTGCTATGAATGCACAGCTGAAGACCTAGAGAAACTGGAGCGTTTTCCTATGCCACACGCCCTTCTCTCCACCTGCTCCATCACTGCTGGGGCATACAAGGGGATCCCACCTCCCGAGTGCTCCCAGCACCCTGCTCCCAGCCCAGGCACGGCCTCCCACCCCTCCTCTCTTTGCAGACCTCCAGGCCACTGGAGCAGCTGCTGGCAGCAGGTCCCCACCTGCTCCAAGCAGCAGGGCCCAGCAGGACGGGCTCTCACCTCTGGTGGGGTTGTGCTCTTGGAGTAGTACTGACATCGCCCCGCGTACAGCGGCCGCAGGTCCTGCACAGAGAAAGCACCAGCTCAGCCTGCAGCAAAACCAAACCCACCCAAGGGGCTGGGGAAAGGGACCAGACTTCAGAGAGACCCTGTGTAGCCATGGTATTTTATGAAAAATCCTTTGCTAGGATTTTTCTCCTAGCTGAGAAGCCTCAGAAGAGAAATGTAAACAATTAACTATCTGATGGCTGTGGAATGTGGTCTGGACATTGTTTACCAACAGGTGCATCTTAGATTGGTCCATGTGGATTGTTTTCACTTGATGACCAATCACAGCCACCTGTGTCCAGGCTGTGAGCAGTCACAAAGTTTTGTTATTCAGTCCATTCCTGTTCTTTCTAACCTTCTCATGAATCCTTTTATCTCTATTCTTTTAGTATACTTTTAATGTATCACTTCAATATAATATATATCATAATATAATAAACCAGCCTTCTGAAACATGGTGTCAAGATTCGTGTCTCTCCACCCGTCTTCCTCTCACACATGGGGCATCAACCACAACCCTGATCTCACACCAGCTCCTCAATGCAGCAACATCTCTGCAGCCCCCACCCCAGTCCCCTGAGCCCCGGGGGATGTTTAACCCTGGTCCTGGGAGGCATCAAATTGTTACAGCCAGCACAGGAGCAGCAGTCTCTCAAGCTCTTTGGGTGATAGTGGCCATCCTGAACTGAACAGACACAGACCAGGTCTGCTTGACCTATTTCTGAGGGTTCTTCCTGCTGAATCATAGCAATTTTTCATGAATTGTTCACAAATTTGTCCTTCCTGTGCTCTTCAGTGTCTTGTGGGAAAGCTCTGGAGGATCATCAACGTTCCAGCCTGCAAACATGCACTAATGCCTCCCTTTGTGGCAGCTGGATCTCCAAGGCAAATCCTGGTGGAAAGCAATGCCAGAGGTGTATCCACATCAGGAGCCCTTCCCAGAGCTGCCAGACCGGCTCTCCAGGTGTCTGATCCAAAGCTGGGCTGGCAGGGCAGTGGCAGCAGCTGGCAATAGGAAAAATCCTTTGTGCTGGCGTGGCAGGAACAAAGCCTTGCTTGCTTGTTTCCAGCAAGGTGGTGGCATTTTTGGACTGTCAGGTGGTAAAGTGAGGCCAGAAGCCCATCTGCTCACCAAGAGGCAGAAACCAAAGGCTCTGTATCTCAATTGCCCAGCTCTGGCTGCCTCAGACAGGCAGCCACCCCCAGAGCAGCCAGGAGGAGCTGCCAGCTCATGCCACAGCCCAGCCCATGAGGTTACACCCTTCAAAGGGGGTCAGATGGCCCAGACTTGCTGGTTTCGTCCAGACAGACAGACACCCATCACACGAGTGAGAGGAGCTGCCCTTTGCTCTGCCAGCAAATCCTGCCCTTCCACCACTGGCATACTCAGGGGCAGGAGAGAAGAGCCAGCTTCACAAGGAGCACAACTAGCCAGCTGATAATTCTGACCTTCTGAAATTCCTTTCCATTCTGATACAAATAAACTCCAAAATATGTCTTTTTAATCCCTTTTTGCCAATTTTTTTTTAAAAGTCATCAAATTGCAGAGCTGCAGGACAAAAACCTGTTTGCAGTTGCAAATTTCAATCAACAAGCTGAAATGGAATTGGGTCTTTTTATTTCTATAATAAATAATTTCTTAGTTATTTATATTTAGTTATGTGCAGGGCAAGCACATAACTAAATATAAATAACTAAAACTAAATAACTAAAGCTTCTGCACATCCCACTGTACTAGTGATTGGTCATGACAGGAGTAGCTCATAATTTTTTAAGTCACCAAATGGAAACTGAGAACCTACTGCAAATGTATCCTGTTTATACTGTAATGCTTCAGTGAGCTTTGTATCAAATTGCTTCATTCTACTACAGCATCGTGATTCACTCTGCATTAAGAACCAGCTCTGCCAACATTTCAAACAAAATAGATGCTACTGCTCATATCTTGTCCCTTGGCAATAGCTGTAATTCACATTACATCTTAAGTGTTCTGATAATAAACACATAAAGCCAAAAAAACCCCAAAGCAAAGCTTTAAGATCTTAGTGCTTTCTGCTATTTTTTAAAATTATAACATTTTTCTAAAGCTTGTGATTTAAAGCAGCATTCAGCACATGCTATATATCTACAGGGTTTGGTGTGGCCCGATACAGGCTTGCAGACACCATCACTTGTTCTGTTAGATAAAAGCACTGCAGGAGTGTGTTTTCCTGGAAGCACTTACGATGTGTCGGGCAGCAAAGACACCGTCGACAATGGCACAGCAGAACGCAGCGATCACACCAAAGCTGATGAAGACGATCGATGCAACCAGCTGAGAAAGGAAAACAAAGCCAAGTGTCAGCTGCCTCTGCAGTGCTCAGTGCCCTCTCCACGAGGATTTGCGGAGCACGGTATGAGCCCCGGAGCAATCAGTGACCCCAAAGTCTGCTCTGGCTGAAGGCAGTGGATGTGTCTGCTCGGGCAGCGGGGCAGAGCAGGAGCACTGTGCCAGGCTGGCTCTCTGGGGACTCGATAGAGTAATGCAGGTTTTATCATCAGTCCAACAGGCTAAACTAGGGCTGAGGATACACCTCCTCTTCTGGCTGCTGCTGTCCTTAGCTCTCCCCTGGGGAGACAGAGGATTCCTTCTCTCCTCACCCTCCTGGGAACTCTTCCCGAGCTGTGAGGAGGCAGGAGATGGATGTGTGAACCTCTCTGCTGGGACTGCGCCTTCAGGGAGCAACACCTGGGTGCAGGCACAAGCAGAGAGCCACGAGAGCAGAGAGGGCAGTGACCAGCTGGTGCTGAGCACCCCAGAGCAGCCTGGCTGGGCTGGGTGCCACCTGTGGCAAGCACAGCCCACCCAGCTCCCACCGCAGAGCTGCACGGAGAGAGACCTCCCTCCACCTGCAGCTTGAGAAGGGCAGTCAGACAGGCATGATCCTTTTCCACTGCCCATCCCGCCCATTCTTAAAACTAGCATGAAAGCATTCAGCAGGTAAAGCAGAAATAATCTCCACTTCAAACAGCACCTCTGGCAAAGAGCCGGTGCTCAGCTGGGGGAGCCTGCAGCAGGGCTGACACAGCCCCTCTCACACCTGCACCCAGCTGCTGGGCTCCTGACCAGCCCCTCTCACACCTGCCCCCAGCTGCCGGGCTCCTGACCAGCTCCTCTCACACAGAGCTCCCAGCACTGATCCCAACCCCTGCCACAGCACACTGGGCATACCAGCAGGGCTGCAGGGGCAGGGCAAGCACAGCATCCAGACAGACAGGGTCACAAATGCAGCCTGGGGAACAGCTTTCAATCTTAGTTCATGTGTACTGAAATACGTTATTTCAGCATATTGACAGTATTTCAGTGTAAAGAACAGGAAGCTCCCCGGTGGTTTTCCAACTCTGGTGACTGAAACCTTCAAGTGTCAGTTGCTGGCAGCAGTTAAAAACTGTTTCTCCACGAGTACAAAGGTGACTGTGGTCATGGGGGAGCTGTGAGCAGTAGTAAAAATCTCTACAGCCCAAACACAAAGCTAACAGTTAGCCTGGCAGCACTGACACATACCTCAGGTCTCCTGACTTGGGGATGTTTGTTTTAAAGATCCAGGTACTAAGTTTGCTTGAAAACCTTGGCTCCTGCCACTGCCCAAGGCTCCAGCTCTCAGACAAGCCAACCCCCCAGACAAATAGAATGCAGAAGGATCCCATGTGTGTTTTTAAAGTACCTCAGGATTTTTAGGTTAATCACACTGGTGTTAATCTACATCACGCTAGGTGAAAACAGATTTTGCTCCAGTAGTCATGTACAGGCCAAATAATTTTGAACAATGACTGGAGATGCCAGAGGGCTCACCCGGGGCAGTGGAAATGGCTTACTTAAAAATGAGAGAAAATAAGATGGTTTTCTAGACGAGGGAAGCATTCAAGGCACAGGCACTGGACCTGCAGAGCTGTGAAAGGATCCCAGTGAGCACATGAAGGTGTCATGATCACAAGCTTTACTGGAATATTCGATGCTGTGCCACAAAGCACTTGCAGATGGCAGCAGGTGACAAATTTTCCATGATCAGATCCTACACTGACCCTGTTTCTGTCAGCTGTGAACTCCTGCATTTCTTCCCCACCCAGCCCCATCCTTTGCAGGTCTGGATCCCAACTCCAACCATCCATTACAAGGTCTCACTGTCTCTCTAGGAAACCACACAAGCAGAGAAAGTCCATTTCTGGTGGAAGACACAGGGTTTATGGCTTAGGGTATTTTGTAGCAAGTTTAGATTTTCTCAGTACTTTCTTTTGTTTCATACACACATGAAAGAGGATATTTGCCCTACATAGCGTGAGCCTTAGAGATGGGAAGTGAGCCAAACACTAAATATATACAATTAGGGAATTTGTCAGTCATCTCTGCTCATAGACAGGAGCTGCTAATGTGTGGTTTAAAATAAATACAAAGTTAATGATACTTTCATAACAGCCCTACCAAGAGGTAAGTATCTGATGCTCACTTTATTTACATACAGTTTTCTCCCTCTCAGATGTAGAAAGAAAAGTCTGAAAACCAAACACTGAGAATTTATGGTAGAGGAAAAAATCAAACAGCAAATAGAAACATACAAATGGAAAGGAATGAAAAAGAAGAAATGTCTTTGCAAACAAACTGTGGGCCTGATGGTGGATAAGGCCAGAAATGGAGAGGTGAAAGAAGCAATGGGGGGAACCATAAATTCCATAGGAATTCCACAAATTGACAGAGACTGTTACTCACTGGAGACTGTGCTAAATCTCTGGATTTAGAGAGAAAGAACAGAGACACAAGCAAAAAGAAAAACAGAGGGGGTATACATTAGAAGGGAGTATTAGGTGTTTCAGGAAACCTGTACCTCTCATGTACCTCAGCCAGTGCAGAAAGAGAGAGGGAAATGAGGTTGGAAAATGAGGATAAAAGAGAGGCTGCGTCCCCTAAAAATTTTGAGAGACCCCAGGGGAAATGACCCATGGCCTCTCCCTTTATTCAATAAAGTAACAGGACTCCTCTGTCTGCTTTCTGGACATAAACCTCTGGTGTTTGTGGATTAATTTTCTTGACAAATTTAATTTTAAAAATCAGTTTTCAACTTGCCAACAAGATTATTTTTGATTTGGGGTTGATAATACTGTTCCTGTAGCAAGCAGAAGTCCTTCTCTAGAGCCCTGTGATATTCTTGACTGATCTTCCCTCGTGTAACTCCAGATGAAGTCAGCCACACCAAGCAGCATTCAGACAACAAAAGACAGACTGGGTTTGGATAGGGCAGCAGTGTCCTGGGCTGAGTGTCCTGCACATCCTTCAGGTGATGGTGCAGCCCCAGATGGGCTGTGAAGGTGCTGGTCCTTACTCTTCCATAAAGGTGTGCAAACTGCTGACTCCTCACTTGGAAGCTGCTGAGTGGGCAGAGGGGTGTGTGCCAGAGCAGCCTGGGCAGCCCATGGGCACAAAAGCTCTCCCTGCCCTTCCCTTCCCTTCTAGAGGCAGGGCATGGGAGGCAGTACACCTGGGTGGGTAAAACCAGAGAGGTCTGTTCCTGTCAGCAGCCTGGGGGAGGGAGCAGTGCCCCTTCAGGTTAGCTCTGCCATCAGCCACACTGACAGAAACACTGAGCATCACCTCACAGACAGAAACATGCAGAGAACACAGCTGCACAAGCTGCTTCTGGCTCTTCTGCCTTCAGCTGCACAGCAAGCCAGACCAAGGCTGCCTTTCAGCAAACTAGGACACGGGGGAAGTTCAGAGAGGCTGAAAAAAATAAATCCTCCACGGCCAGTGGTATCACAGAAACATGCAGTGGACAAAGCTGCCACTGTGAAGTGCTCCTGGGTAAGGAGGACAGGTGACTACAGCACAGGGACAATAAGTGACAGCTACTGCATGTCCTCTCTGCCATCTGAGTGGAGACATGCTCACTGCCAGCCCAGGCAGCAGTGATGCAATCCCTGCAAAGCTGGGTCATGAATGTTTTTTAGGACACAAAATGACAGAGAGATTAAAAGAATAAACTCAGGCCACGCAGGGCTCTTCAGAATAATCAAACAAGTTAGAGCCACACTGCCACTTGTGGGCACTCCTGTGAAGAGTCCAGGACTGGCACAATGTGGTCATTGCTCAACCAGACACTGACATGCTGCTAATATGTGATGAGCAAGAGGCTGAAACCCTGCTAGGACAGAAAGAACAGGGAAATGTTGTTCTTGCAGAGCCAGGGTGAAAACAACAAAAATATCCACTGGGAAACCCACCTCCCCTGCAGCCTGTCTGACTGTGGGAAAGGCAAATGTCATCTCCTGCAGGGTCAGCCTCACCCTCTCCTGCCCTGCAAAGCAAAGGCAGCACAAAGGCAGACCCTGGATTTAGACAGGAATTCCTCCCATCTGCCTTTGCAGAACCTGCCTTAGCCCTGGTCAGCAGAACACACTGCTAACCTGACCCTGAGCCCCTCCACCCCTGCCAAAGCAGGCAGCAGCCCAGCAGGACAGGCTGCAGGGACAGCCTCACGTCCCCGGGCCCTGCAGCCTCGGAACAGCAAGGCTGGGGGATCCCTGCAAGGCTGGGGGATCCCTGCAAGGCTGCGGGATCTGAGCAAGGCTGCAGGGATCTCAGCAAGGCTGCGGGATCTGAGCAAGGCTGCAGGGATCTCAGCAAGGCTGGCTGCAGGATCTCAGCAAGGCTGGATGCAGGATCTCAGCAAGGCTGGCTGCAGGATCTCAGCAAGGCTGGATGCAGGATCTCAGCAAGGCTGGATGCAGGATCTCAGCAAGGCTGCAGGGGTCTCAGCAAGGCTGCAGGATCCCGCTGCCAGAGCCTGGGGCAGGCACAGCCCAGGGGTTGCAGCTCTCAGCTCTCCTGAGTGAGACAGCCAGGCAGCAGGCAGAGTGCCCACAGGGGGCTGCTCCCAGGCTGCCAGAAACCATCTCCAGTTCTCAAGAGGTATGCAACACTACCCTGGAAGAGTTAGGAAAACCTAAAATAATACTCTTTACACACAATATTTGAGTTACTGCCATTTTTTAAGAAAAGTTTTTATAAAGAACTTACCATTTGTCTTTTGTTTTCTATCAAGTTTGATCCAATTATTCCAAGGAACGACCCAAAACCAAGCTGAAAAACAAGGTATGGTTAGCATGTAGTTCAGCATGATACCCAACAGATTTTACAAACAGAACACAATTAAATCCAGAAGCAGCAAAAGAACATTCTGCTGATGTGTGAGCTCTCTTCCTTCAGCAAGAAATCAGTGGAGTCTCTCACTAGCAGGAACTATCAGGTGTACCCCACACATGACACTAAAAGCGTGTGCAGAAACCAAAAGGATGAGTTCTGAATTGCATTCCCCCAGTGATGCTGAGGATGGCTGGTGGATGAGGATGTGCATTGCTGTCTTGGAGCAGCCCTACAAACACTCAGAGCCTCCAGATGCAAACCCAGCAGGACCAGTGCACTAAATCCTCCAGGACCAGGCTCTGTGACCTCACTGAGCTTGTGAGCAACCACCTCAGTTCTCAACTCAGAGTTCCTCAGTGTGAAGCATGAAATAAAGGAAATTTATGAACTTTGGAAGATTTAGCAGGTTTCTGTCTTTTACTCCTGCCTCATTTCCAGGGGTGAGGGTGCATGAGCCAGGGTGTTCCACCAGAACAGCTCACACTGGCCCAACAGAAAAAGGCACTGCAGCAAAAGCAGCTTTCCTTGCTGCTGTAACTGACAACACTCAGCTCAGTGAAATGAAGTCAGCCAGGAAAGCAATTTCCCACCTCCTTTCTCCATAGCCTTAAGCTACACTAAGAAGAAGTTTCTAGGACAGAGCACACCCCAGCCAGCACAGAAACAGGGACTTCAAGCGGGAACCATGGACTAGGAGGGGAGATGCAAAAATAGGATTGTGGCACGCTGAGAAAGGTCTTTGGTTGGTGTAGAGCATATTCAACCCCACTTCCATGGGCTGGCAAAATAAGAAACACTGGAAAAGTCCTACAGCTGGATCTGTCATGCTAAGGAGGTGCAAATCCAGACAACAGACCAAGGGCTAGTGAAGATCCATGTGAGAATTCCTAATAGCTGGCCAACTCCCCAGGAAGAAAAACAAGGCATGAGACAAGCTGCAGTGGTTCAAAAATGAGTCAACTAACCTGGAATCAATACTTTGAGATCCAGGAATAGAAAACAAAGGTTTGATGAATCCAGTACCAGCAGGCAGAGAGAGGCATGTGCAAGATCAGCAGGCACAGATGTGATGTAAACTTGGCCTTCAGTCTTCCCTTGCCCTGCTTCAGCCCAGCAAGCTTTGCTGCAGTGCAGGCAGGGAGGGCAGCTGGCTCAGGGTTAAAGTGAGCAGCTGGATTAAAGGGGAGCAGCTGAGCAGGCTCTGCTTCCCCAGGGCCTGGCTGGCACTGGGAGCTCCTGCAGAGCCCTGCTCCACACCAGGCTCATGGTGGGAAGCACTGCAGTGAAGCCAGGCTCTGCTTACCCCTGGGGGGGAAAACAGGCAGGGCAGAGACCTAGGGCACTGCTGAACTGCCCCACACTGACCTGCCAGTGCTTCTGGGCTCATTATTTACCTTATGATTTAGCTTAGGCAAACAACACCCCCACCTTCCTAAAGTGACACATTCATAGTTCAAGTCCAAGCAAAAAAAATTTGGGAGATCCAGGCATTAACAGTGATGTGGATCCAGGTGTAATTTTCAATCTGGTGATATTTAGCAGAAGGAACTTGTGTGGTAACACACACCTAAGGCAAATGCTAAGAAAAATGTTTTGTGTTCTTTGAGCTTTAAGAGAAATATCCACATGGTGTTTCAGAGCAGCCTCAAAACAAAAGGTGAAATTCTTTAGATAATTTAAGATAATTCAAAAAGAAGAAATTAGAGCAAGTCTGTACATCCAGCAGATGAAGACCAAATAAACTGGTGGATTCTCATTAACAGAAATTCTCATTGCACTAATGGAAGATCTACTCATTCTTCTATGATGGGACAAAGAGATCTCAGTAATGTTCCTCAGTTACATCATTTATTTGCTGGTGGATGTGATCCCCTGGGATCTGTCTGAAAGGAGGACAGGACACAAAGATAATGTGCTTTTCCAGAGTAAAGCCCCAAGCCAACATCCTTGGCAAGGAACCATCACAGAAGAGGCTTGCCAGTGAAAGCCTAAGAAAGATCAGTAATTTACACAGATTCTGGCAGCTGTTGGAACTTGGAGGCAGCACTCCTATCTCACAGGCTCACTCCCACAGGGCTCCTTGTCTTCTGCACCTGAGCATTACTCTTGTCTGCTGAACATCACTGCTGTGCTCTGGGCTCCCCTGCCCCAGCTCGGTCATCCAGCCACAGGTGAGGACATTTCCCACAGAGACACAGCTCAGGTATTCCCTGATGCAGCTGGGAAGGTGTGGGGGCTCATGGAGGAGGGTGAAGGCAAACTGGCTACAGGATGTCACTGAACCCTCTGCTTCAGCTTCTCCAGTTCTATCAATGAGGAACTGAGCTGCTAGAGAAAACAAACAAACAAACAAGCCATTTCAACCCCTCAAAAAACCCAAGAAACAAAATCCTACTGATGTGTGGAATGTCTCCAGTGCCTGGTTCTGTCCTTCTGTGGAAGCAGAGGCCTGGGAAGATAGTCCCCTGCATTGAAGCAAACATCTTTGCACAAGAGGTGCTTGCCCAAGAAACACAAGTTGAAGGAGGAAAGAAGGGTGGTTCAGGCATGGCAGCAATGAGACATCTGATGTCTGAGCTCAAGAAGAATTTGGACAATGCCCTCAAGCACATGGTGTGATAACTGGAGTTGTCCTGGAGTTGGACTTGATTATTCTGATGGGTGTTTTCCAACTCAGAGTATCCTAGGACTTTATGATTCTATGTTCCCTAAGATGATTCCATCAGCCATGGAACTGCTCCACACACACAAAGTCACCCAGCATACAAAGAGACTTCTGGCTCTAACTGCTTGAGGACAGCTCACAGAACACTCACTCACTGCAGCCAGCCCTTTTTCCCCAGTAAAGGGAGAAATCCCAGCCTGTTATGAAACATCAGCTATTTTAAGCACCTTCTGAAGCATCCAGCAGCACTCTGAAATGTTTTCCTGTGCAGCGAGACAGGTGAGGTCATCACACATTTCCACAGAGCAGATTAATGAACCTAGGTGGGGAATTTGGTGACAAACACAAATGGCCAGGGTGCCTCTGAATGAAGGAACTCAACGCCCTTCCCAAGTCCAGGACTTCATTAATTCCTTGAGCAGCCCAAGCCTTAGGAAAGCGAAAGCGATGCTGACGTTCCGGACCATAAATAGCTCGGGAGATGTCAAGGGGACGTGAGCAGCAGACTCTGCCCATTTGCATCAGCCTGCAGGACCTGCTCTGAAGCACGAGGTTCAGCTCAGGCTGGCACAGTGCAGAGGAAGTGTGGAGAGTCTGCAGCCAGTCTGCCATCATTCTCAGCACCTTCCTTCTGTACTTCTCTTTAAAAAAGATCAGGCCTAAATGCAGGAGATACTGGGACAAGTCAGAAAACCTAAACCAAAGAGACCAAACATAATCTGTAACAACGTTCCACACTGCAATGGCTGTAAAGGCTTCCCTTCTTCAGCTGTAGAAGAACTTGGGCACAGAAAGTAAAAACCTCCCTGAGATCAGCAATGCATGGCAAATAAATCAAACAGCAATAAGACAAGAACAAGTCTCCACCTGGTTTTCTGGAATGGTTTCAAGCCTCCAAATTCAAGGCTCCAAATCAAATGTGCAGCACCCTACAGCTGTTACACCAGGAGCTTTAGCTGGGGCTACTGGCTGCATTTAATCTACTGAGACACCTAATTTGATTGCATTTCAGTGCTTCTTTTTCAGCATGTCTTAGACAGGCACAGGAACAGAGCAGGACTTGCTGTCCAGCTCGTGTCAGACCTCTGCTCATGCCAGGAGGGTCATGAAGCACTTGCCCCTCCTGCTTCTGTAAGAGAGCATACATCTAATGGCTGGACACCAGTGGTCTTCTCTAAATGAAGCCATGTGAAGCTAAAAGATGGTTCTTTCCCATTTTCAGCTGCTGGTAACAAAAAAGAAGAAATGGATGTGCTCGTGGCTTTGATGTACATGCTCCCCTGGCAAGCTGCCACAGCTCCTCATCCAGGGACTCCAATTTGTTAAACACTTCTGCAAGTAAACTTTATGACCACAAGTTCGTGTTACCAGTATTTCAAAACCTGGTCTCTCAACTCCTTTTGGCAGTAAGGTCCTTCTTTGCCTTACTTCTGCCTGGGCTTAGTGAGATCTATGTAAACAAAGAAGTTCTAAAGTTGCTTCAACTGACATAAAATCTATTTATCTGTCTCACCACTAGGTCAAAATCAAGTTATTTACCTAAGCTCAGAGGAAGCTGCCACTTGGATGGGATTTTTGCATGGGAATGTGCAGCAGGTGCAAAATAATAATAAAACAAATAAATAAAATGGTGATGAAGTAGCTGAGCAAAATATTCAGGACAAAATCACCCTTTATAACAGTTTCAGCATTACAAGGGACTTTGTAGGCAATAAGTTTTCTAGACCTACCTAGGAGTTCTATACTTACAATAACCCCTGGGTAATAACCTCCAACAGTCACATTTTGGGTTCTTGTTGTAGCAGCTAGGCCCACCGTTAGAATTAATACTGACACAATGAGGAGAGTCACAGTTACGTAGAGGGAATTTCTTTTTCTTCTATTGAACGACCCTAAAAACACACACACACACAACAGAATTTGCTGATTCCATCTGGGGAGAGTCACAGCACCACAAATTTCTCCTCCCACTGCCAACCACGCCACGGTGAATTTCCCTTCCTCTGACTTGAGAATATTTTTGGGTTTGCCTGTCACTTTTCACCTTCACTAACATTGCTCTGACGTAGGTGAAGAGAGCCTTAAGAACTGCAGCTCTGCAAAGCTCATTTAGATACTCTGGAGTCTCCCAGCCCCTCTAGCCTGGGGCAATTGAGCTAATGAGAAATATTCACATTAGACATTTATATACTTTCTGATCTGTCTACTTGCATCAAGCTAAATAACCCCACTGCATGCTGCTTGTTCTGAGAGGGGAAATTTGACTGTAATCATAAGGCATCCACAGTTTTCCATGCAAATAAGACATCACCAGTAACAGCCACTTCTCCTCTACTTTCAGCAAGGATCAGGTATTTTTAGATGCTTGAATAATGAATTTGTGGATTAGTAAAACTCATCTACAGCTGCCTGATGATGAGAGGTTTTTTTTTTTTTCTTTTCTATATTTATAGATCTCCCAAATGAGCATAAACATAAAAGAGTGATTCCACCAGCCAAGAGGAAAGCTGGCTGTGACACTACACTCAGCAACATCTTCAGGGGCGTGTTTGGTCTGCATGTGCTTTGCCATCTTTGTGTCACTTTGTGGAACAATCCTTTTGATCATATTTAATATATTGTGTAGATACAACCCAGCACCTGCAAGAATGGCTGGGAGGATAATGGATTGTGGGCTGCTGGGGCCACCCTGCACCCCATTCCCACAGCCTGGGGCTCTCCAACAGGCCCTGCCAGCAGGTGAGGGTGTTCCCACCTTAGAGGCTCCCAGCACTTCTCTGGGTGTTTCAGAGAAGAGCAGGAATGTGTCCCAGGGACAAGGAGCAGCTTTCAGCACTGCGGAGTGCATTCCCTAAAGCAAACCACCTTGGGCATCCCCCCTTGCCCAGGGCTCCCTGGCAGCCTGGGCACAGCGAGGTAAAAGTGAAACACCTGCAGAAAGGCCCTGGGGGAAGACTGGTCAAGCCAAGCACAACCCCCTTGTCCAAATTCTCCAGCAGGGACAAGGAGCAGCTTTCAGCACTGCGGAGTGCATTCCCTAAAGCAAACCACCTTGGGCATCCCCCCTTGCCCAGGGCTCCCTGGCAGCCTGGGCACAGCGAGGTAAAAGTGAAACACCTGCAGAAAGGCCCTGGGGGAAGACTTGGTCAAGCCAAGCACAAGACCCTTGTCCAAATTCTCCAAAAACAGGAGCACACCAGGTCCTGCTGGGACCTTTCTGTCTCAGAGATGCCCCAGGTGCCCACAGGCCCTTCTGCAGGATTGTATTTATGCCCAGCAGATCCTTTCAGCCCAACAATGATGCAGCCATACCAACCCACACAGGCTGCTACAGATGATCTCCCTTCTCCCACAGGGACAGCTCTCAAAGCACAGGGAAAAGCACAGGGAAAAGCACAGGGAAAAGCACAGGGAACAGCACAGCAGCTCCCCCCTGCTCCTCCACCCCTGCTCCAGCCCGACCCAGGAGCTGTGCCCAGGAGCATCCCTCTCCATGCTCTGGGCTGGCACAGCTGCCACAGGCACGGGGATGGATCATTTCACCCACAGATGAGCTTGAAATCACAGACAAGGGCTAAACTTGGGGCTTAAAAACCCAACAGAAGGAGAGCACGAAATCACAGGAGGGTAAGGTTGGAAAAGACCACTGGAGGTCATCCAGCCCAACCTCCCTGCCCTATGTGAAAGGCAGAGAGGTTTATAAAATAAAGCCCCATCCCTTCTGACTGCCCTGCTGTCTCTGGAAGGAAAGCTCTCCACCCACAAACCTTCTGCTCATTTCCAGAGCTCAGCTCTGACTGCACCACTGGGACATCACTGGTCCTAAGAGCAAGGAGCCTGACAACTGGTTAGTCCTCAGCTGGAATAAATAGCTGGATAGTTGCTAATTTCAAACAAAAAATATTAAATAACTGCTAGAGAACCCCAAGACTGAGGCTGGATATTTTATCAATGAACTTTTTGGTCTTTCAAGCCATGTTTTACAGACTGGAGATAAAGGTATGTGACTGTTTGCTGCAGGTCACATTTGGGGTTACTCTCCCACATCTACCACATAATATAAAATCTAGGCTTCTAAATCACTCAAAAATCATTAAGAGACGAAGCTATTCTGTATGTACTGCCTCACAAATATTATCATTGTGCCACACTTCTGTTTCAATGTAACCATTTAAATGCAAGTGTTCCACAAAAAAACCATAACAGTGGGACCAAAACTGGAGAAAATTTGCCGTTTCTTACATAGATGAGTTCTGAAAGGGGAGAAAGGATGAATCCATCTTGCTTCCATGGAATTACCAAACTTCTGATTACTGCTACAGTGTGGCTGGCAAAGGAGCAGAGGGGAAAGGAGCCCAGCCCCGCGTTCCTTACACGGTGGGCAGGGTGGGCTGTGGGTGCAGGTGGCTGCGGGGCATGGCTGGGAGGGTGCTCTGGGCACTCACACACCCCACCAGAGCTCCTGCACTGCCATCACAACTGCTGCAAAAAGTCACCACGAAAACCACTCTGAAAGGAGCGTCTTGAAACACCATTTGTAGATGCTGTACTTGTTTCAGCACCATCGTGTTTTTCACTCTTAATTTCTGTGTTGTTTGCCAGCTTAGAACTGGCACACACCAACATTCAATAGAGAACAGAAACATAAGGTTTCAACTGGAAATTTTCTCAAAGCTTTCCAATATTCCTCATAAGATTACAAAAATTTTTTAAAGCTTTTATTTCAAATTCAGACAAAATCAGACAAAATCTTCTAACTTGGTATTGAAAAGAGATGTGAAACTGAGGAGATAATGTGACTACCTCCACTCAGCTCTATACTGGGTTATTAATTACATTTTTTCCTTCTCTGAAAACACCTTGCTACTCACGTAGAGAGAAAATGGTTTTGTACTTCTGTAAGGATGCCTGCAGCTGCTTCAGCATACAGGCTCATACCCAGTATCTCTCTAACAGCTGCTGAAGGGCTGCTCTGACAAAATCCTCTCCCTCAACATTAATTTCTGCTCAAAGTATTCCCCACCAGATCATTTTCCTGTGTGCTCCTGAGCTTGGTACAGATCTCTGCACAGCAGCCGAGCTACGGCAGCTTTGCTACCTCTGCTTTTAAGAGACAGCAATAGCCTTTTCTCTGTGATTTATCCCGAACAGATACCCCAAAACTTGCAGTGCTTACCACAACATAAGTAGACAAGGTGATCCAAAACACTGTGCTGAGCTCCGTTAGGGAGCTGTAAAGAAATTTATGCTATCCATAGCCTGGCTATTGCTTCTGCTAAAATGGCACTCCAAACAGGCACTGGTTTTGGAATGATTGTTTTTCTTTTAAGCATCCTCTTGTTATATTTGCCCCATAAGCCACTCTGAAGACAAGGCTGTAGCAGGTTTTTCCAGATTACTGTAAAAGTTTGCAATAATGCATATCTTTGAACTGCCCTTGATTCACTTTTTTTTTTTTCTTCCCCCACGATTATTAGAAGAAAATGGACAAGATGGCACAGAAACACGACCGACTTCTCCATCTTGTTCTTTGGGGGAAAAGCCAGCAGCGAAGAACAGGCACAGAGCAGCAGCTCAAGGAAGAAGCCAGCTCTAACTCTCACCCCGGGAGAGCCGGGGGCAGATGGCACCGAGCCTCCCTCTTCCCAGCCCCTCTCCCTTGGTCCCATTTTCCTGCTCCCAGCGCGTCACCGTGCGAGGGTGACCCCCGGCTCGGGCTGCGGGGCTCGGGGCTGCGGGGCTCGGGCAAATCCCGAGCAGGGGCCGGGGGTCCCCGACCCCACCGGGGCGCGGCAGGGCCCCGCTCCCAAGGGTCGCTCCGCTCCGCCCGCGGCCGCCCCGCTCCGTCCGGGCGCCGCTCGGCCCGGGGCTGCGAGCAGCGCACAGCCCTGTCCCCGGGGGCTCGGGGAGGGAGCGGCGCAGCTCCCGCCCCGTCTCCGGAGGGGGCCCGTCCCGCCTCCGGGAGAGCTCGGCGCGCTCACGGCAGCCCGGCCAGAGGCGCTCCCCACCTCTCTCCCCGTCTTTCTCCATCCCCTCGCCTTCAGCAGCTCCCACCCTCCTCCGGTCCAGCTGCTCCAGGACATCTGTCCTTCCCCACAATCTCCCTGGCACCGCTCTGTGGCCCCGTTCTCGCCGTGTCCCTCCTCCCCGAGGGGCGAACGACAGCCCCGGGCAGCCGCCCCGGCCCGGCCCGGCCCGGTGCTCCGTGTCTCGGCACCCGCACATCTCCGCTCCGGTGGCGGTGCCTGTTGCTGCCTGTGCCCCATTCCACGGAGACAGCAATCAGCTGCAATCTCTGTGTCCATGGCCAAGGAGCAAGAACAGGCCCTCGACCTTTATTTTCCACATCCTATCTGCAAAATGGGGATAAAAGCATCTTCCCAGCAGGCTTCATAATTGCTTGTAAATCTCTCTAATGCCCTGGGCTGGGAAGTGCTAAGTACAAGTCATGTAATTATTTCAAGCACATGTCATCAACATAAAAGAAACGAATACTACCTCTGCTTTAAACCCCCCTACACTTTCACTGGATAAGAGCCTAATGACCGGCTTCTCCCAGGGGAAAAGGGAAAGTGTGCGCTGACAGCGATGCGAGAGCCTGCCTCCCATTCCACCTCCCGAGCTTCGGGAGGACAACCTTGCCCCAGCCTGGCCAGGGGATCCAGCTGTGGGCACAGCTGTGGGCACAGCTGCCGGCGTGCTCCCCTGCCGGCGGGCTGGCTCGGGCGGGCACCGGCACCGGCACCGGCGGCGAGCGGCAGCCCCGGCCAGCCCGGGGCCGCTGCCAGGGCTCTTTGCGTCCCGCTGCGCCCATTTATCAGCGCGGCCGGTGAGCGGCTTTCTGCCACGCTCGGGAGAGGAGAGGGAGAATTGGTGCTGTGCCGGCTGGACGGCACCGCGCAGCCCCGCGGAGCCCGGGACAATGTCCCCGTGCTGCGGGCACAGCCCCAGCCTGCGGCCAGGCAGCCTCTCCCCACCCCTGAACAGGGCCTGGCTGTCTGGCAAAGGAAGGGTCACCGCTGCCACAGGAAAAGGGCCAAGAGAATGAGCGGTGGATGGTGCCGAGCTCAGGCTGGGCAGAGGTGTAAAACGAGCCCCGCAGTTCCTGGAGAGCTGCGTGGGCACGGCCAGGGCCGGGCGGCCCCGCTGCCATCAGCGCAGCCCGCAGCCCGCCTGCCCGGGCATCGCCTCCCGCCCGTGATTCCCCGACCGAGGGAAACCCGAGCCTCCCCAGCCCCGGCCTGGCACGGCACGGTGTGCCTCTGGATTTTGTCTGACAGGTGTGGGTGGCGAGGAAAGCGGCGCTGTGGACTCCTGCCTCTGCTGGCGGGGATAAATATAGAGCCGCCTGCCCCTCTCACTACCTCTTTCACCGCGAAAGAGATTTCGCAATTTAACCCCGGCCCCGCTGTGACTGACAAGCACACGTTGACCGGCGCTCCTCGCCATCGGAAACCCCAGCGATTTGTTAATGTTTATTCACAGCTACACGGTCTCCTGGGGGAACAGCCTGGCTTCCCCATGTAGGGCGTTGGCTGGCAGCGATGGGAGCTCAAATGTGAGGCAGGATGCGGTGAGCCTGCTCCAAAGGGCACCAGATGCCAGAGCACTCAAGATAGGATCCTGCCGAGTTGAGCTTCCCCCGTTAGGAAAACAAGTTATTTTTTGATCCACTCCTGAAGAGCAAGGTTCTGCAGGTAGGGAGGGAAAGCAGCGTTGCTCCCCAGTCTCGGCACGGCTGCTGTGTCAGGGGGTGCTGTAGGGCAGAGAGCAGGGCTGGGGAGGGGGCTCTCTCCGTCTGTGAGTCCCTGAGAGCCAGCACCACGCTGCACCCACACCCACGGTACTGCTGTGCTAACACTCACATTTGTTTGTTTCCCACCCAAGGATGGCCAGCAACACCAGCACCAGTGGCGTGGAGCTCAGGAGCCCCAGCCAGAACGTGGTGAGTATTTTGGGGGCTATTAGCCTCACTTCACAAGGTGAGGTGGGAGCTGCTGCAAGGACCTGCTTTGGCTGATAGATTTACAACTACTTTGCTTTAGGAAATGCTGCTTTGTCTCTTAGGCAAAGCACTTTGTATGGGAGGGGGGTTAAAGGGCCGTGCCAGGTCTGCCAGTGGTGCTGGGTGGTGAGGGGGACTAGAAGGGACAAGAACACCTGGGCAGGGTGACCCCCTGCATACCTGGATTTCAGCAGGAGGAATCCAACACTGAGAGCTGACCTGGTCTGAGGTGAGAATGGGGAAAAGCTCCTGGTCTCCCCCAGGACACCCACAACAGCCAGCACAGAATGATTTTGTCAGAGATGAGCCCCAGATTTGCTTCCCAAGCAGTCACAGCAGGAGTGACTCAGTGCTCTCCAGTGTCCCAACACTGCTGTGGCTCTGCCTTCTCCCTGCCCCACTGCACTCCTGTCCCAGCTCCTGCCACTCCAGGTGCAAGGGATTGTTCCAAGACCATCTCTGTCTTGGGCTGCAAAGATAAACCTCCTGTGCTTCATTCCAGACCTGACCTAGCTCCCTAGCTGAGAGACATCTGCCAGGGACCTGGTCCTGGCATCATCCCACCCTGCCCAGCTGCCCCACAGAGACCACAGGTGAGCCTGGGGCTTCCTCAGCCTCCCTGGGCTGCCATGGAGCCCTCGTGGCCTGTCCCAGCCAGCAGGACAGGACCTTCACCAAGTGAAGGGACACACAGCATAGAGCCAGGAGAGCTGGAATCTTTTCTCCCTACAAAAACCTCCTTCAGTTCCCAGGGTGAGGTCAGCCAGCAGGACAGGACCTTCACCAAGTGAAGGGACACACAGCATAGAGCCAGGAGAGCTGGAACATCTCTCCTTACAAAAATCTCCTTCAGTTCCCAGGGTGAGGCCCCATGACAGGGGAAGCTGTCCCTATATCCCACAGCCCTAAGCACTGGCAGCACCTTCTGAGTGTGGGCTCTTGCAGCCTCCAGTAGCAGTTGGTATGAGATCCAAAGGGCTTTCCCCAGTGCAGCACTAAGCACCAGTGTGGAGTCCACCTGGGCAGTGTCCCCTGCCCTGGCAGTCTGAGGAAACGTTTCCAAAACATCTCCTGGTAGTTCTTTTATTTAATGAGGAGAGTGGGAGGAAGAACACCTCCTCTTCCCCCTCTTCGTCGGTCACTTGTTCCCTTGTGCGTGTCCTGGCAGGGTACAGCCCCACACCTGTCCCACGTCCCTGCTGGTGACTGCTGGGCTCATCGCTGCCTGCTGTCATTCCCGGCTGGGGCCGCTGTTCCCGGCTCCAAGACCCGCTGCTCTCTCCAGCCCCGTACCCGTGTACCCTGCCCCTCAGGGCGGGCAGGAGCTGGCTCGGCACGGCTCCAGCCCGGCTGTGGGAGCCGTGCCAAACGCCGGCAGGCAGCCGGGGGCAGTTCTGGCACAGGAGCGCTGCCAGAGCCCCGCGGGACTCAGCCCGTGGGGCAGCCGGGATGGGCAGGGTTTGCACCCCGCTCTGCCCCGGCTGCCAGGGGACACGCTCGGCCTTCGGAGCCAGTACTCTCCTCCCATCCTCACTGTGCTGCGGGGTTTGTGTGTCTGAGCACAGTTCAACTTCTCCTCCCCAATTCTAAGGAATTTCCAAGCAAGGCTTTGGCCAAGCTGTCGGCCACATCCCGGCTCTTCGGGGGCAACCCACGGCTTGCGAATATCCCTATCCGTGTGTCCCGGCTCCGGGAGGGGCCGTGCCCGGTTCCCGGGGCTGCTCTGGGTCCGTGCCCGGTTCCCGGGGCTGCCCCGGGTCCGTGCCCGAGCAGGCACCGCAGCCCCGGAGCCGCCGGCGGTGACGGACCCGGCCCGGGGACAGCATCGCCCTTCGCCCGGGCCTGCCCCGAGCTCAGAGCAAGGCCGGCACCTTCTCCACCAGGCTGCCTTTGGGACCGGCCCGGAGCCAAGGGGAATTCAGGACGGCTTCTGCCTCTCAAGTGGCTCTTGCCCAGGCAGAGGATTTGTGTTGCTGAGTTCTGGACAAACAAGTTTTCACCCCTTAGGCAAAATACAGACTCTTGCAACCTGGGGAGATGCTTTTCCCTGGAACTTGGTGTAATTAAAGAAAGTAACAACACAGGGATTTCTTCAAAGGCTGAATTCTTGCTCACACGCCAAGGAAAACAAGCTGGTTGATCTCTGAAATGCTGCTGCCTGCTATCATCTGTGGCAGCACAGAGAATGTGCACTTGAACTCAGAGATGTTGCAGAAGTGTGGGAACAGCCCCAGCCTTCCCAGACCACAGGTTTTCTCTGGTCATGTTCATACAGGTGGAAAAAGATGAGTTTCTGTAAATGCCAGCTCAAGGAGACAGCACCCAGTGTGACAGCAGTGACGTAGATGTAATGGAAAAATGGATGCTGGGTTCTAAATGATCTTAAGTTGGAACAGCCAAAACTGCCTCTCTTTAACTCAAGAGTGATGATGGGAAAATGGAAATTTGAAACATTTCCAGATATTAAGTGCTTTTGCATTTATTTTTGGCCAATGAGAAGTTCAGCTTGCCTGTGGGGGTTGTGTTCTGCAACTCTTCCAGGAAAATAAGCATGAGGAGAAGGTCCAGGATCCTGACAGAGAGAAGGACGAGCCTAAGGCAGACATGGGGAGCAAAACCTGGGCAGACCTGGCTGGGGAGATGAAGATATTCTTGTGGAACCCGGAGGAGAGAACATGCTTGGGGAGAACAGCCAAGAGCTGGGGTAGGTCCTTCCTCAAGCCCCACTTTTGGGGGTTGTTGCTTTTTCTGCTTCACAACAGAGTCACTTTCCTGTGAATGTCCCTGATAGCTTGGACTGACCACCCCTGCCATTTCTTTAGTGTTAATGTTTCTAACTAGTGAGGAGGACAAGCAGAAAATCACGTAGAAGGTACCCTCGGTCTGGAGGTTAATGTTGAGGGAGAGTTTGAAAGCAAAGATTTCAGGCTATGTCCCAGAAAGAAGTTTAGAGCCTGAGCAAGCATGGGAGCTGCAGGTCAGCCTGCTGTACCCCTGCTGTCACCAGCACTCCTGCCCCTGCCTGTGTAAGTCAGGGACTGAGCCCGGGGACAGTGGCTTTGGTGTCATCAGCTTGCTGGGGCAGAGTGCCCGGGCTGGGCAGGTGCTCTGTGGAGGGTGCACACCATGGGGCAGAGCAGCCCTCCCTGCCTGGGTGAGCCTGGCTCTGGAAAGGGAGGGAAGGGCTGTCAGCACTGTCACCCCACGGCTTCCAGGTAGTGACAGGGGCCACAGCAGGACCCACAGTGCACTGGGATGTGCCAGCTGTGGTGGTTCTGAGTGCCCTGTCTACTTTATCCACATCCAGTGCCCTTCAAAAATTATTGCAGAGACTGGAGGTGCCCAGGGTGGTTAAGAGCAGCCTGTGGGTGAGTGCTGCTGCAGGCTTGATTCAAAATCAAGGTGCCACAAGCACATGGGGTGCTACCCATCTTTGCCGCTCTGTTCTGCCAGCCCCCTTGGCAGAGTGAAAATCCCAGCCTGATCCAGACTCACCTGCACATCCATCAGTGTAAGGCTGTGAGCTACCAGGGGCTGCTGCTGGGTGTTTGCAGCCCTTGGCTGGCACTGGCAATGCACCACAAGCCCCACAGCCCCCCCATGCCCCTGCCAAGAGCTCTGGGTATTCTGCAATGCCTGTGTTGGCAGCTGGGAGGAACAAAGGAAGCTTCCCACCAGCACCAGAGGAGTCTGAAAACCTGCAAATATGAGTCTGGGACAGACCTTGACGTTCATGTTTGCACTCCTGTGCCCTTTGCTGGCCACAGAGGCAGACCAGCTTTTCTGCTTCTTTCCTGGATGGGAAGGCACAGACCAAAGGATCAGTAGGGTGAGTCCCTAGTGATGTGGGTTTGGTTTTCTGGAGGCTTCCCCAGGTCCTGAGAAGATCCTTGAGAGAGGATTTGCTCAGTGTGGTGTGGATGTGACCCTGGCAGGTACTGCTGGCAGTGCCAGCAGCACTGGGTGGGTGCAGCATCCTCCTGTCCCCTGGGGTCACTGTGCTCTGCTGTGTGACCCCCCACGTGCCCTTGGTGCACACAGTGTGCTCACTTGTCTCTACCTGGGGGCAGGAGAAGCTACTATGAAAATCAAAGTTTATTTTAAAGTGAGAGCATTTGGAAGTGAGTGGAGCTGAACTTTCCCACTTTCAGCTCATGGGTGGGGAGGAGGGAATTTGCCCAGCCTGGGGCTGCTCCCCTGTGCTGGCTCTAAAGGTGTCCCCTGAAATGGGGGCCTCAGGGGATTTGTACTCACAAAATGCAGGGAGACAACTGGCCACAGAGTCACCACTGGAGGCCCCAGCCCCTGGGAAAGGCTGCACCCCCTCTCTGCTGGTGACAACACTCCCTGCTGCACTGCAGGAAGCGTAAAAAAGGGAGCAGCAGTGGGAAGATGTCCCAACAAGCGCCAGCTCTGCTGCCAGCTGGGGCAGAGGCACCACCCAGCACCACTCTGGCAGGGCTGGACATTGTCCCTTCTGTGCCACCAGCACAGTGATGGTCCCTCTGCCCCGGCTCAGCCCTCAGCAGGACGCAGCAGCTCCCAGCACGGTGGCCCTGGCAGAGGCACGGCAGGAGAGCACATCTGTGTTCCCAGCGCTCCCTCCGAGCCGCCGGAACCTTTCTCCTGGGAAATATTTGGGTTAGGGCTTCGCTTTGCTTTCTGAGCTGCTGGGTTTTATTCATAGGCTGGGGCCTCTTGAGACATCCTCAGCCAGCAGCCTGGTCCAGAGGAAAAACAAACCCGTTCCCTGAATGTCTGGGCCATGAAACAGTCAGTGGTGCTGCAGCCCTGGGCGATGCTGCCTGCTCAGTGCCAGCACCAGGGTCCCTCCCGGGCAGGGGACAGGAATCAGGGCAGGAGCATCGCCCCGCAGCCCCACCAGAGGTTTGGCTGAAGCCACTGGGTACCTTTGCATGTTTTCATGCCAGGAGGGGGTGGGAAGGGCAGGAGGGTCTGTCTGTTGGAGAGAGCTGAGGCAGGTGGACACACAGACCTGCTCCTGACCCAGCTCTGGGAGGGGCTGTGCAGCAAAAGGGATGCAGATACACAGCCTCAGAGCTGCAGAGGACGCCGTGCTGAGCACGTCTGTGCATCCCTGTGGGACACATCCCACGGGATGTGCTCTGCTTGCCTTGACAGCGACATGCCTGTCTGTTTTGCAGGCTTGATCTTACTGTTTTACTTCATTTTCTACACGTGCCTGGCGGGAATGTTTGCCTTCTGCCTGTATGTGATGCTGCTCACGCTCAGCCCCTACACGCCCAGGTTCCGGGACCGTGTGTCTCCACCAGGTAAGTACCCAGCCAGCCTGGCCTTGGCCACCTCTGCCCATCACTGTCCTACCAAAATGGCATGGAGAGCACCTCAGGCAGAGCCCTGCTGGAGCTGTGCACTCCTACAGCCACCCAGCCCTCCCTAGCACAGGGTGTTCTCACCTCGGGGCACTGGCAGAGCTGCAGGGTCTCTGCAGAGGAGCAGACATTTAAAAAGCCCCATGAGAAGCATTCACCCTGATGATACTCATTGTTATTCTCATTGCACTGTTTATAGTTATCATTATTCTCAAGGCAAAAGCCAAGTTTAGGTATTTCATAGGTGATGCTGATGCATTTCAGCTGCTGGCCCTTTATACCTCATGCCTTCAAAATAAAATGCAAATCAAGAGTTGCTTTTATGCATTATTATTTGGGGGAGTTCTGGCAAGAGAATGTTCAGAAAATCCTTTCCCTGTGTCAGACACAGCATTTTTCCCGTGTTTTTGTGTTGGTGGGGAACAGAAGGGCCCCTTGCCCTGCTCCTTGTCTGGACCTGCCCACACAGCTGGGAACAGGGGGGACCTGCAGCCACTCTGTGCAGTCCCAGTCACTAACCCACAACACTACTGAGGCTCTCCATACCTCCCAGGTTTCCTGGGATATTTTGATGTGTATGGTGTTCTCTGGTGTGAAATGAAGGTGAGGGATCAGCAGGTTGAGGAGAGAGCTGCTCTGTGAGCTGGTGCTGCCTCTCTCATGCCTGAGCCCAGCCCTGCAGCACACAGCCCATGGCTGCTCCACCTACATCTGCCTTACCAGGGCTGTCTCCTTCTTCAGGGGTGATGATCAGACCATACTTGAATGGCTTCACCATTGCCTTCAATGTCTCCCAGCCCAACACGTGGCAGCCCTACGTGGACAGCATGCACCACTTCCTAGCAGGTGAGCTCTTGGTCACCCTGGGAGCCATGCTGAGGTTGTTTTTATCCATGGATACACGCATGCAGTGCAGGGGTCTCCTCCTGGGCACCTCATGAGCCACATCTGGAAAGGGAGGCTCACAAGGTCGTGGGAGCTTTGCCTTTCCAGGTGTGACTTCCTAATGCCCTTGACATGTGCCTGTTCTCTGGGAGTTTGTGTCTGTGCAGGTCTGGGGGGTTTAACAAGTCTCTTGGTCCCCACCAGCTTATGATGACAAAGTTCAGGAGGAGAAGAATATCGAGTGTGTCCCAGGCCAGTACTTCATCCAGGGGGGCAATGACAGTGAGGAGAAGAAGGCCTGCCAGTTCAAGCGCTCGCTGCTGCAGAACTGCTCCGGCATCGAGGACCCAACGTTTGGCTACTCCAGAGGCCAGCCCTGCATCCTGCTGAAGATGAACCGGGTACAGAGAAGCTGCTTGCTTTAATTCCTTCCTTTGGGGGCATCCCAGTGTGATGAAAGCCACACAGGGACTGGAACTCCTTCGCTTCTCAGGCCCAGGGAAAAAGGGAACTAGAATCCCCAAACCTTCAGGCCATATTTGCTAGAAAACATTAAATAAACCCACTATAAAACTTATTCCATTTGATTTCTGAGGCCTTAGTGCTTGGAGGGTCTTCTGCCAGGCCCTTCTTAATGAGGAACTGAGCTTTAGGGGAACACCCCACAACCCAGATGCTTTGCAATGGGAGTTTTCTTGGAATTTAATTTAATTGAAGTCTAACAGCATAGTGGTTCAGTGCTCACTGCTGGGAAAATAAGCATGGGGGGGATGTGAACTGTGTGAAGAGGCTGTGTTGCTCCAGGGGGTCTGGACTCTGTGGTCTCTGCTCTGCCCCTGCTCTCAGGCAGCAATCTGGCCCTCAGCCATGGGCAGGTTGCACGGCGTGGGGTGGCAGACCCTGCTGAGGGACACACAGCTCCTGTCCTGAGCAACGTGGCTGCCACCAGAGAGGTTAAAGCTCTGGAAAAGGGAGGCAGCACGTTCTTGGCACTGCATTTCATACAAGGCTGGATGTTTTTTGCTGTTGCAGATCATAGGCTACCGCCCTGGTGCCGGGGTCCCCGTGAGCGTGGACTGCAAAGTGCAGGTACTGCTTTCCTCCCTGCCCTCCCTGCAGCACGGGGGGGACAGGCCAAACGTGTCCTCCTGATGGGCCTCAGCACAACTGTCCTCATATTAGCCCAGACACTCACAGGGCCCAGTGCTGCCCATGTGTCTGGCACAGCTGGAGGCCAGTCTGCTGAGTGACAGAGGTCACCAGTGTCCTGCTTCCAGCCTGCTCCTGCAGC